CAACCACTGGGGTCTGGGTCAGTACTTCACACTTGCTTACAATACCTTGGACATCGGATGTGACGGCTGTAACGGATTTGACGGCTGTAACGGATTTGACGGCTGTAACGGATTTGACGGCTGTAACGGATGTAACGGATTTGACAGATGTAACGGATTTGACAGATGTAACGGATTTGACAGATGTAACGGATTTGACAGATATGACGGATGTGACGGATGTTGAAACCACAGAATCCCCAATTTATCGTATTCCTGTTCTCCTGGAAGATTCCCCACACTCAATAAAAGGTGAGCCTTGCTCAGTAAGAATGAAAATGTGATATAAAAGAAAAGTAGGTTACAAGACGCCAGGTTATATGGCAATAAACTAAAAATTCATACTCACTATGGATACATACTGTGTATATATATTATGGAGTAGTATAGTATGGATACACATAAAGAAGATACATGCTTAAACTAGAAGAAGATACCTTAAAAATCAGACACCATTATCTATGTAAGGTTAAAATTTAATTACAGCTTGACTTGGTTGAATATACTCCAAGACGATATGCCTCTCATCCAAGAGGCTTCTTCAGTTCTGACTGACTGGCAGGGAGTCTGGGGAGTCTTTATAGTCTCTGTGAGGTTGTTATCAAGCTGCCACTTGGTTCTTTAGTGGTCCTGGCTGTAACGACATATGATTGTAAAGTCATTATGGGTGTATGAGTCATGTGAGGCCAAGTCTGTACGACCGTTGTTGGCATTGTCACATGAGGCCAAATGTGAGCGCTATTTCCCTCTCCTGGGTACAGATGAAAGGACAGAATTGTAAGTGGGGGATAAGTGGTGTCTCAGTCCTGCTCCCCTGTTGAGCGATGGTTTCTCTAATCTGGTGTAAATAGCCTTTTTCCCCTCCTCTTTCAAACCATCTGTCCTCCATGTCCAAAATATGTCCATTGTTGTAATTGAAAGAGTATCTTTTATCCTTAAAATGTAGGTAAACTGCTGAGTCTTGACCTGAGGCCCTTCTGTGTTAGGCCATACGTTTGTGTAGGCTGTTGTTAAGTTTCCCTACAGGTCTGTGCATTTCACACTGTTGTGGACAGCAGACACTAGATTGCTGTGTTTTGGGTGGAAGAGAATCACAACAACATCTTGCTTCCATTTGTGTCTGGATTTTCAGAGAAACTCGAGAGGAATTTCAACAAAAATCGAAACCCTGTGTTTTTTAAACCCAAGAAAGCGCTGCCAAACTGGCCAATCAAAGCTCTGACACAAAAATGAAAAAAACACGGTATCTGTGGCTGTCACCTTACTGTAATAAGCATGGGCTACCACGTCATTCGGTCTGGATGTGTTTTCTGTGTTTGCAGCACGTCTCAACCTCACACCTCAATTTAATGATGTTTTTATACTAACAGAGTCACAGCCAATGGAAGGCTCTGAGGAGTCAATGACATCATTTCTAGATGAAGGTGAGCAGCTCTATACTTTTTTCAAACACTTTACCTACCTCCTGTGTGTGTTCGTTGATCTGTTATTAGTGTATAATCAGCAAAAATATTTTACTTTTCAGGGCTGGGAATCCTCTTTACATAACCACCAAATTCTGGGTTTCTTTTCTTTGAAACTTTGAGAGGTTTACACTGACGAAAGTTTCAAGTGTGACCAAGATGCTGTTTAGATGTTTACCATATTCAAATTGTTGTGGGCTTTAAAGGTACTATGTCAAGGTCCTAACATGTCCACAAATTTGCACTTCTAATTAACAAACAAATTATCAAAACACAATATTTCATCGTGATTACATGTTATTACCATGCATAAATGCAACATTGGTTCAATACAGATGTCATGCGCCCCAATTTCAGCCCCATTTCTGTAGTAAGAGTTTAAAGACAGATAAAAATAGAAGCTAACTTTATTTCCTTTTTAAAGTGCAACGTGTATACTGTGAATTTTAGCTATAATGTGTGCTCTCCACTCTTTCTACCCTCCCTCCCTCCCTCACCCATCCTTTAAGGCACCCCAGAGACATCATCTGAGTCTCTCCAGTGGGACACAATCCCATGGATTCGGATTGGCCTCATTGCCGGAGTATTGCTGGTCACAGTAGTGGTCCTGTGCATTCTGGGAGCTCTACGGAAAATTTAAAATACAAAGCACGATAAATGGATTCCCACTTCTGCCATTCAGTTGACCCACGTTGTACTACGTAAAGGATTTGAGTCGGCTTCTGAGCTGGGTACAAGGAAGAGCCTCCTTGTTTGAAGAAAAGGGTTACTGTGGTTGGGCTCACCACAGATGAGCTGGGGTTGGAACTTGACTGAATGTGGATAAAGTACAAGCTTTTACCAAGAACATTTTGCAGCTTGATATTTGGTTAATAGATTTCTACAAAGACTCAAATTCTGTAAATAACCTTCAGTATAAAGAAACACTACCTGTAGGCAAGCCATATGTCAGTCCTTGAGTGTGTTTGTTAGTGTGAAAATATATTTATGATGACGTTGGCGGAAGGACCAAGTCCAGAAGAACTCCACGTTGATGTACTGTATCATGGTTTACACTTTTAAATGGCTGCTGAATAGGAATTACCTGTACGACAATAATGTGTGTGTTAAATTCAGTATAATGTACATTATTATTGTAATCATTCAAAGTTTTCGTAATTTTTGTCATTATAAAACAGGGTTGCACAATGAATTGCAGCTGTAGCCCCCATTAACAAATATAAACACGGTCAATTATAGTCACAGTAAAATAAATCCGCTATAATCAGAAATACTGTTGTCACGCATTGTTTAATGAATTGTGTGAAAGAGTCTGTGTTGCATTAACAGCCAAAAGCAGCAACAACATAGATCAGAAAACATGAAAACCTCATTAAAATATGGTCAGTTGTACTTATATAATCTAATTGAAATGACAGCCTGTCCTTAAATATAACTTGGATCAATAAAATGCTTGGTTCTTCAGCTAAGGTGATAAAAGAATTTCCGGCATTTATTGGATTGTGCAATCAGACAAAATGTGTCACATTTTCTTATACTTTTTTCCTTGCCATGGATACACTTTACTGCTGTATATTGTTGCCCAATTAGTATAGGATTGTTGCATGTATGTGACAGATTTCAACATGACTTCACTGCTGAAACATTGGTTCATGTTTGCTTGATCTGACTGCGTGCCTTTAGGATCCGTGGGTAGAAGACAGGAGCCGATCTGTCTCTGGTTTGGAATGAGGAACAGGTGCATACAGCATAGAATGAAATTCAATATAGAAACGACTCAGCCAAACTGTGCTGTATAAGGCGTATCAGCCATAAACCCTCAGCACCAAATCAGTTCTCAGTTACCTCTCAATGCTGCTTAATTTTGCTTATCTGACGCTCACTGTTGTTGGGGATTAACATAGGCGCAGGTTTGGGTATTAACCACCTGAATATCAAACAGGATCTAGAGGTACTGAAAAGTTATTAATCTTTAATTAGGATTAATATGTAAGGAGCACCACCTTGGGATCAGGGACCAATAATCAAACCTCCAAACTGTCTCAAAAAGGGGCGTTTAATTCTAAACTATTAATAATGAAGCGTCATTAACTGATAATAGACTGACAGTGAAGGATGAGTTCGTACACTGGCTGTCTCAGCAACTGTTATCATAATGCCACACACAATAACCGCAAACAATGACTTCTTAAATTCATTTAAACACTATTATCTACTCTAAAACCACCAGTTCCAAAAGGGCAGAGGCCAGCTGGTCACTCACAAGTAGCCTACTTGTGGGTCATAGGTCAGGCTGCTCCTCTATTTTAGAGTATCAATGTCTCTGAGCGTCTGGCTGTGGATTTGAAAAGACAAATTCATTCAAAGCACAAAAAACTATCTGGTGAGAAGCATCAATAAAATGCCATGATGAAACAGCAAAGTAACTATCAGAGGTACTAGTGCTCGATGTTATGTGAGTTACCATAAGGATTACATCTTAATAATAACTACAAAGTTACTCATGTTTTAGTGTAAAATGGCCTGTGAATGTTTCCCTGTTGAGCTGCAGTGCAGGAACAATAAAAACAAGAGGAAATTTAGAAGGGCAAAAACACAAAAGAGGCTGTACAATTGTTTTAAGACAGACTTGAAAATGGGTGAACCCATTCTTTAACAAGTTGGTGTTCTTTGCTGGTTTTTCATCCTTCTAACACTTTCCTATTCTTGTGTTTGTTCTGGAATAAAGTTGAAAACTAATAAATAAATAGCACAGCCAATGTGCATTTAAAAATGTAAAGCTGGTGGCTTTTCCTTCCTCTAATTTAATTTTCTTATAACATTATTATGCGTTGATGTTTTCTCTGTTTTCTTGCAGTGATGCTAGTATCCAGCAGAGGGAGTCTTGTTATTTATAAATGAACTGACCTTCCAGCATGATGTGTGAGACAAAGTATAAAGTTTATACATCATGGACTTGTTCTAAATGAAATGGTTGTCTAGCTGTGTGTTTCAGCAGTAGCAGCTGGGATCGGTCATGTACTAGAATCAGTCAAACAGACTTTTCACAACCTTTTTTTTATTATAAATGATGTAAAGGCTCAGCAAATGTTTTTACAAACCATTAATATCAATCAAATCAAAGCTTTTTATTAAGGGCATGAGGACACACACCCTGTCCAAAGAACATGCAATAAAAACAGAAAAACAGACGCAAGTTATACAATGCCAATATCCCACCAGAATTCTTACCCAGTCCCACCAGTATACATATCTCTTCTGTTAACTAAAAGCGAAATTGTAAGTAAGATACATGACTTGAATCAATTCCAAAGGAATGTGAAATTCTTGAAATGTGAGCTGCTGTGAAGTGCTTATAGCAAAGCCGTGCATGGATTTCTCAGTTTCTTCCAACGTTAACTTCTGTTCCCTACTTTCCTTCTGTCTTCCCCTATAATCCATCCTCCGTCTCTCCTCCCCTTTTACCCCCCTTCACCCGCTCCCCTCTGCTCTCTACTGTTCTTACTTCCCAAAGAGCAGCTTCAGAATGAAGAATGGAGGAGAGGAGTGAGGAATCATTGACGTTCTCTGTCAGGGTCTTCGCTCTGCAGGAGGAGGTGAGGGCCGAGGAGGAGAACATGGAGACACGTGAGGAGGTAACAGTGGAGGCTGCAGAGGGCGCACTTTTATATACTGCTTATATTTTCCTATCTGCTGGGTTGTGACTTTATAAGACGCATTTTATGTAAATAAACCTGGCGTAAGTTCTGAGTTTAAACTAATCAAACTCTGCTGCTATGCTGTTCTGCGGCAGCTCCAAAACTAGTCTGTTCTGGTTTAATGCAAATGGATCTGAAAGGCACATAAAATGCACAAAATGCAAAAAGATAACATGACCATGCTGAGCCAAAGGCTGCATATATACAGTATATATATATTTACACTCACCGGCCCTTTATTGGGTACACCTCTTCAGTTGCTTCTTAACACACATAGCTAATCAGCCAATCACATGGCAGCAACTCAATGCATTTTGGCATGTAGATGTGGTCAAGACAATTTGCTGAAGTTCAAACCGAGCATCAGAATAGGGAAGAAATGGGATTTAAGTGACTTTGAACGTGGCATGGTTGTTGGGGCCAGACAGGCTGGTTTGAGTATTTCAGAAACTGCTGATCTACTGGGATTTTCACACCCAACCATCTCTAGGGTTTACAGAGAATGGTCCGAAAAAGAGAAAATGTCCAGTGAGCGGCTGTTGTGTGGACGAAAACACCTTGTTGATGTCAGGGGAGAATGGGCAGACTGGTTTGAGATGACAGAAAGGCAACAGTAACTCTAATAACCACTCGTTACAACCAAGGTATGCAGAATACCATCTCTGAACGAATTTGTCTTTGGGGCCCCTTAGTACCAACTGAGCATCGGTCAAATGCAACAGCCTACCTGAGTATTGTTGCTGACCATGTCCATCCCTTTATGACCACTGTTTACCCATCTTCTGATGGCTACTTCCTGCAAGATAATGCACCATGTCACAAAGCTCAAATCATCTCAACTACTACTGTGAAGATTCTCAGTCATCCATGTCGTAGTTATCCAAGGAAGGTTCAAATTAAGGGCGAATGGACTTGGTTGAAGATACTTGAAGACGTGTTGCCTCTCATCCAAGAAGCTGTCTTCCAGGGAGTCCCAGCTGTTTAACCTCTGGGGGTGTTCTGTTTGGCTCGTTAGTGCTCCTGGCTGTTTCATAATGACAGTTGTTATGGTTGTAGGAGTCACCTGAGGCCAAGTCTGAACGACCCTAGTTGTCATTGTATCGTGAGTCCAAATGTGAGCATTTGTTTCAACTCCTGGGAAGGGATGAAAAGACAGCATTGTAGGTGGTGTTGCAGACCTCCTTCCCCTGTTGAGAGACAGTATCTCTGTATCAGTGGAAATGGTTTCTTCCAGTGTTGTGTAGTTCCAGGAGCACTAACAAACCAAACTGGATCCATTTCCTTGAAAACGACCCCTCAGAGTTTAAATAGCTGGGACTTCCTGCCAGAAAAGAAGAAGCCTCTCTAATGAGAAACGAAAGTAAGTCCAGCTGACCTTGATTTTAACCCAATTTCAGTGGACAACTTCACCCACAGTGATAAAGTACGTTTTTACATGTGACTTTGTTGCAGATATGCAATTATCTGCATAAACCTGATTCCGTCAGTCATCAAAGAAATCAGTTTTTTTGTGTGCATTATAGCCTATAAAACATTTGACAAACGGAGATGTTGGATTATATTCCTGGTTTACCTATTTTAAAGACTGTGAGTTTCCCTACATTGCTGTTTCATTTTTAAATCATTATTTAGTCTGACATCATGTTCATTTAAACAGGAACATTGTTTGGAGCAGGGACATTAGCGATCTAAGAAATATTTTGTAGGAAGATGACAATCTTAATCCCTCCTATTTAGCTCTGATCAGATCAGTTGTTATTTCCGCCAGTGAAACTGCTTTCAATCACAACTCCAGACCTGTTTGAATCTCTGAAAATATCAGAGATGTCTGCCGCAAACCAGAGGCTTGGAACCAGGAGAGATCAGCCACAAGATTTGTTCTTTTAGCTAATACGTGCACATCTTGCAGTTTTACTACACTTAAATCCAGAGTTTTTACAGTAGTTCCCACAATCCTGTTTTACCACGTGCCTTTCATTAAGTTTGTTTAAAACACAGGAAGTGGCAATGTGATGAAAAGACATGCTGCTGTTGGTAACATACGCCATCACTGTAACATAGAAGGTGCTCCTAATATGTCTTTTTGAAGCCGTGGTGTAGTGATAAGACATTATATACCTTGCTAAAGGTTATTCTAGTTTGTGCTACAGACATTCAAATGTCTGATGGTTGAGTTAGGTATTATTAATCAAGCTTCTTGCGTTGGGACAAATGGGACTAAAATTGGCCCAGCAAAGATGCAGGGTCATCCATACTTATTTTTATCCCAATGCAATGTCATCTGGCCTATCCAAACAGTTACCTGCAAGTGCACATCCCTGGTAGAAAGTTATGTAGTGCAAATAAATTCTGCTGTTTACTTTAAAATTGTTGAGACAGAGGAGGAAATGATTGGTCTGAGTATGGAGGAAGCTCCAGTGTGCTCCAGTTTAATTACATCCACTAGATTCTGGACCAAAGACCCGCCATCCATCCACTACTATACCTGCTTGTCTTTTGTAGACTTACACTATCACAGCCAACTGTCATACCTCAGGATTCCTCCTCTTTGCCAAATTTAGATTTTGGTAGACTGTGGGGTTAATATTAAAAGTAATTTAAACACGAAAGCTCATCATACTAGATCTGGTCCGGAGTAATTTGGTTGGGTCTGAAACGTTCTTGTGCTCTGTGACATAACCCAGTGTGTTGTGTTCTGAAGGAGGTGCAGGTCCAGGAAGGGATGAACAGGGAGCAGCAGGTCAGTGTTTGCAGACAGAGAGCAGAGCAGGAGCTCACACTGCTCCTCACCACAGGACTGGAGACTCAGCTGCTCACTGTGCAGGATGGTGAGCGCACACACACACACACACACACACACACACACACACGCTGAAACGTGCCACGCTCGCTAAGTTAGAGCAGTGGTACTCAAATATTTTCATGTCAAGGACCCCCAAACTGAAACAAATTAGACCATGGAAATGGCTTTTTATTACAAAAAATGTATGTAACCAATGACAAAATAATCACACAGTCTAGTTGTAAAGTCGTGTCGTTACTTATGGTAATTACTTATAGTGAAAATAAATGATTCCCCTTTTTTGCTTGGGACCCCCTCGAACCCTCTAAAGGACTCCTGGGAGTCCCCGGACCCCACTTTGAAAGCCACTGATTTATTGATTCCAGGAAGAGGCTGTAGTAGTGGAAAAAGTGTGTGCCAAAAGTTCAGTGTTGAGATAGGACCCAACCAGAAATGGAAAGTTAGTCATGACACCTCATCATTAATAAAATCAGATATCCATAACATACATTTCACTGTTGTGTGTTGAAGATCATAGCTCATCAGCGATGGAAGTTTTTGTGCATTGAGTACTTTTAATACTTTAAGTACACTTTTTGCTGGTTATACTTACATAATTATACTTAAGTAACATTTTCCATTGTACTTTTACAGTGTTGTATTAGTACTTTTACTTCTGGATCTGAATACTTCGTCCACCACTGATAAAATGTAAATGTGTTCTCAGCCAACAGAGCATCAGTCTTCCAGTTTACTGTTTCCAAGGAGATGGACTGCTGCCAGGTCGGACGGCAGTCCTTCCTGGTCTCCTTTGGCAAGTTGAGTTTTCTGCTGCAGTTCAGAACTCCTGCTGGTTTGTACAGTATATTCTTAAATTCATACTGCTTATCCAAATGGGTTTGGTTGTATGTCATGAACTCGGGAAACATATTCTCTTTGAATCTGCAGATCTGAAGAACTTCCAGCAGTTACTGAAGAGAGGGGATGATGAAGAGACTAAGAAAGGTTGCACAGAAAGAGATGAGAGGGAAAACAGAGATTCAGAGAGAGGCAAAACACCTTCTAGGAGACATCCCCCTATGTTTGAATCAAGAACTGAAAATGCCCCTACCCTGGGTACCTACCAGGTAAGCCACTTGTTCACTCTGACTTCACAGGTGCTGGGGATAAATAAATCGGTTTGAACAAGAATTTAAAATACATGTTGTTCATTGCTGGATTTGTGTTTAGTTCCACAGCTGTCTGTCCCAGCAGCAGTCTCTGCTTCAAGACTACCTGAGGATCACCACCTACCAGAGAGCCATTTTAAACAATGAGACCGACTTCAGAGACAAGGTGCTCATGAGCTCCTAAAGACTGTTGTTGGAGACACTGGCTTTATCCTGTTTATATTATAAAATGCTCCTCCACTAAGTATGTAAATTCCATCCATGTATAAATGATATAGCCCACAGGTTTCCTTATCCCTGTTAAAAACAGATGTATACAGTCAGGTACATAGTGTAGTAGTCAAGTACAGTTATTAATTTTTATTGAAATGTATTCAAACAAGCCAGTAATATACAGTTAAAGGATTATTCCAATATGTTAGGCCTCTTCATTAGTTATGATAACATGTACTCAAAGTAATTGCTATGTGATTTTTTCCAAAGCTACTCACATCTTCCTTAAACACATTGGGAGTAATTTAGCTTTCAGTTTGCTGAAAGGTAGTTCAAACCTCCAAGCCTACAATTAGTACACCTGAACAACAGCTGCCTGCCATATCTCCTAAAAGAAGTCTGGTGGATCAAGAAGCACAGTCAGTCTAACAATGAAACAGGCTGTAAAACAGGTTAATCAAAGTTATTTGGAAAAAAAAATAAACACAAACACAAAGTTTTGTTAGCCAAAAGAAAATAAATGATGGGAGTCTTCACAGTGGCCTAGTGGTCCACAGCTCGCAACAGCGACGTCCCCACTTTAAATACATCAGGTCATCCCATCATCTTACATCACATTTCCTCTATTAAATAAAATGCAAAGACAAGACAAAAAAGGTGTTTCACAGCATAACACATTTTCTTCTCTTTTTTTTGTCTCTGTAGGTGGTTCTGGATATATGTTGTGGTTCTGGTATTCTGTCCTTCTTTGCAGTCCAGGCAGGAGCCACCAGAGTGTATGCTGTTGAGGCCAGCCCCATGGCCAAGTTTACACAGGTCAGTAGATTTGAAGCCTTCATCTTCCATTTCTGTCATTATACTGTCAGCCTTAAAATAGTCTAGGTATCTGATATACACAGGTTTTAAAAGCGCAGAAATGAAAGCATTGTTTGAGTAAATGTAACTAACCTACAAGCAATTTATGAAAACTCCAAACTGTGAGCTCACATGCAGATTTCTGAGAGTTATGTTAGTGTGTGTGTGTGTGTGTTGGCATTGATAGAGCCTAAAAAGAAACCACAGCAATGCACTAAATAGCACACACAAACATAGAGTACATACATCACATGCAGAGCGTGGCATTCTGGGGAGTTAATGGGTTGCGGCAACATCTGGCCCATTCAGTAGGATAGGGGTTGCAGAGAGATGCTGATGCACACAGTACTGGGCTTAGACGGATATATGGGGATTATGTCTGCCTTTTATTAAATAGTGGACATTAGCTTGGTGTCAGATTTAACTGCTCCACACCATATCCAAATAAATGGCATATTACAAAGGGATTTTGATGCTTCTAGTTATATATTTCCAGATTTTGGGAGGTCTCTTTCCAAAAACAATGTCCCTGTCATTCTGGATAATCCACAGAACACAGTGTCCACAGTTCTTACTGGAAATTCATTTTGAAGAAACGGTCCCTATAAAATCTGCAGACAATGTGTGTCCTGTGGATTGTCCAGAGGAACCACAACATTGTTTCTGGAAAGACATTTGATGTTGAATTAAATTATTCAATGTTGTTGACACCACAAACCAAATCCCATTTGCATCCATTGTATTTGGGTAGAGGCAGAAATCTCAAATTCCCAGACAAAGCTGTTGCACAGTTCTCTCTCTCTGCAAAGAGAGCGAACAGAAGAAAGATCTAAAACAACTCAATTTTGGTGTGACCACCCTTTGCCAAATAATGATTTGATTTACATTTTCTTCTGTTCACTCACTTTGCATTTTGTTAATTGATAAATATAATCTATTAACATGTCTATTTTTGAAAGCATTCTTACGTTACAGAGTTTTCCCACACCTGCCTAAAACCTTTGCACAGTAATGTATATTAGGCATTCAGGGGCTCTAGCAGATCAACATGACCACTTGGTATCATTATGGTTTTGTCTTTCTATTGAAGAAGCAGAAGTAGGGCTTTCTGTTCATCTCTCTGAAACTTTTTGACCACACCTATTTAAAAACATGGACATACAGAAATACACTTATGGATTGGGTGATGTTGAAGTGGTGTTAAAGTTGGAGCTCATAGTTAGTAGGGGAGACGGGGGATGGTTGTAACACATCCAAAAAAAATGATGGTTTTGACACAGCCTGTATCAATCAATTTTAGATGTTTTAGCAACTTTGGCACTGTGCTTTGTTCTCAAGTGCAATGACAATGTGCTGCTGCTGCCACTTTCATTCCCACCTCTGATTGGTTTTTCTCCACAGCTCCTTGGAATTTTAGTTTGAGTCACCCCGTCATGCCAAAATAATGGACAAAACGTGATTTGTTGAAGAAGTTGAAACCATTCAAATTGGTGACCACAATACAAAGCTACAGTTTGTTAGATTATCTGGGAGACTCTCATGTTTCTATGTTAAGTAACATTGAGGATTAACGGAAACATAAAATTGAATTGGGAAAAAGCACTTCTGGAACCAGTGACTCCTCCCACTTTGCAACTGCACCAGTAGAAGAATTAGTAGTGAATCTTCCTAAAATAACATCTTTCACTCATCTCAAACATAGTTTGTACAGTTTTATTCTAAATGGGCTCTTATTCAGATAATTTGTGTAATTGAAGTCGTACGTGTGATGCTTTAAAGTAACTGAATTACTCTGGGTTTCAGTGGTAAGCTTTAGGATGCGTTAATGTATACTGTAGTTGAGAGATCTACCTTTCTTCTTCAAAATAATGAGACATTTTCAGCCTTCACTAGACTCTAGTCCAATGTATGTATGTGGAGGAAATCGACAATCTTTAGTAGTTATGTGGTTTTTATAGTGTGTTTTAATGCAGTACATGTTCACTGTCTCCTGTGCAGATCCTGGTCCAGAGTAATTGTCTGTCTGAGCGGATCAGGGTCCTAGAAGGGGAGGTGGAGGAGGTCAGCTGTCCTGATATGGTGGATGTCATTGTCTCTGAGCCAATGGGATACATGCTGCTCAGTGACGGACTCATGGAGAGATTCTTGCATGCCAGGAAATGGCTCAAGCCCAACGGTAGGAGTAGAGAAGTATCAGGGATGCATAGGAGGGCGAAAGGTTGATATATATATATAAATAAATAAAATACTCAAATCTCTAAAATGGATGTCTATTTTGGTTTTATATGACAAGTAGGAGATAACTCCACATTTGTGTTTAATACTCACCATGCTTTGGGACTTTGCTATCTTGACTTGGCACTTGGCTTACGAGTTACCGGTCTTGACTTGGAACAAGTTTTGTTTAACCTGGGTTGGGACTTAACTTTTACAATCTTAACTTTGTACTGGTTTGTATTGACTTGGTAACCCGTTCTGACTCCCAAGTTGTCACATATGGATGCATGGTCAAGACCCAGTGGCGTCATGCACTGGGGAGCCCCTTAGGGTCATAGTTTCGCCGGGGAAAAGCCCTGTAGTGTCAATTATGAACTCTAAAAGGAAGGTGTTGGATATTTAACAGAAAAGTCAGAGTGAGGAGGTGGCTGGATTGGATGGTGACCGGACTCAACCACGATACCGGTGTTCATTCCCTGTGTGAAACAAAAAGTCAACATTGAATCTATTTTTATTTAGGTTATGCAAGTAGAGTACAGTAAAACTTCAATTAATAGCTGAGTCCCAAATAGCCGCCGACCTCCTTTGCTGGCCTGGCGCGGGAACACGTTTGACAAATAAACGCAGGTCTCCATTAAACGCCTGGTCCTGTTTTTTTATAGAAGTTCTTTGGATGTTTAAAACCTCTTAAACCCCACTGGGTCACCTGCTTTAGCTGCTTCAAAGCTTTTAAGAGCGTTAATACAAATATTAATGTTTAAACAATATGTCAGTATGGACATGCTGCACATCGTTAGATAGTCCACAATTCTATTGTTCAGTTCAAAATTAATCCAAGCTGTGAATCCTGTCATGTGAGGTCCATCGCTCTCCGTCTGCTAACTTCTGCCACACTTTTCTCATCCTGCACCCTGTTGCTGTTTTCCTTAGGTTGCTGCCTTCAAAATAAGAGTGCAAAAGCCTGTCTGTCGGAGCTAGATCAAACGAATGACGTGTATTTGATATAGTATTTTTTATACAAGTAATATTCATACTGTTTGAAATAAACTGTTTTCATAGTAGTTTCAGTTTTGTGCAAAAGGAATTAAAGGCCTGTCCCATATGGACGCCTGCCCCAAATATAGGCAGGGTCAATTCAGTGATTTTAGCAAATTGTCAGGGTTTATTTCAACCTCATGTTCAATGTTTCTGTCTCTCACCGTTTGGCTCTCTGTCTTCCATGTCTCTATATCATTCTCTCACCCTCTCTCCAGGTCTGATGTTTCCCTCCTATGGTGATATTCATCTGGCTCCCTTCAGTGACGAGCAGCTCTACTTTGAACACTACGCACGAGCTAGTTTCTGGTCTCTCTCTCACACACACACACACACACACACGCATAAACATAAATCCATGCATGAGGACGCAAACACACTGGACCCCTTTATTTCCCTTAGTCTCTGTCTGTCTCACACAGACACATGTTCCCAGTGTTCGACCTCAGTCAGGCATGTTTCCTGTTGGGTGTAAAACGCTTGGGTTCAGTCCAGTCCTGACTCATGCAGGCCAACTAAGGGTTTGACTGATATGATCTTTTGTAGGCTGATAATTTAGGGTTGAGGCTGAAGTTTTGTTTTTCCAGAATTTTATTCTTTGATACAGGATTTGGCCGTTGACGGGACATTATAACGTTGTGACCCAGGAGAATAATTGGTCAAACATATTTAAGGGATGAAAAATATATAAAGGGAAGAAACTGGCTAAAAAAAAAATCACTCCTTGTTTATTAGATTGACAACCACACATTTTTGAATTTACGTAGAATTAGGCTAATTTATAGTGAAATTCAGCGATGATCTGATAAAAAAAGCAAACAAATAGCCTCAAAACACGGGGCTATGTTTCAGGAAAATTCAAGAATCCAACAGTAAAATATTCTATGACTAGACTTTTCATCTTCTTTGACATTAAAGCTAAAGGTTTGTTATGCAGATGTTCTGTCAGGGCAGGTAGAGTCCATTAAAATGAACCCCCCTTGCATCATTTACACAAACTTTCCTATTGAGACATCCTGTTCCACAGTACCTGCAGGTACCCGCATGCGGTCCCCACAAGTTTCTCTAAAGCTATAGAGCAAAAACAGCCTGTGTTAAAACTGCAGTTGAAACAAGTTAGCATAAGATTGCCCTGATCGATCCAAACTCCATTCAGAAAACAGGTATTTCAAAGTTGTTTGCTTGTCATCCCTCTGACAGACTTGACAAAGCATGAATTTATACGTTTAACAGATCGGCATCATGATGTAGTTATTTCGGCGCTAGTATGATCCGTTTATTGCAATGAAATCTAGGGCTGGACAATAAAATAATAACAACAATTTTCGTGATACAAGTTTTTCAATAACAATATAACAAATGTTCAATAAATTTTAGATTTTATTCACTTGAATTATACACAAATTAGGACTTAATTTTTGAATTAAGATGTTTATTTTGTTCAGGAAAAAGGACTCAAATAAGCTTTTACTTTTTTCACTCAAAGATTTTATCATAATTATTTTGAATGTTCTACCTCAGATTTGTGAATGATCCACTTTTTGGCAACAAGTGTTGACCGTAAATCATCAGGTTTCTTCAACTGTCACTCAGGTGCAGAAATCAGCCTTTAAACTTGAAAGAAATAAAGGTTTGATACTTATCATGATAATTATTGATATCGAAAGATATGAAACTTTTTATCGTGATAACATTTTTTGGCCATATCATCCAGCCCTAATGAAATCTCAGAAAAACCTTTATTTTGGCATCATATAGCTCTAGCTATCGCGGGTTGGGTTTGCGTTGTATGTGAACGCGCCATTACAAGTTAAAGGTTAGGGACATATGTGCAGGTAGCAGGATAACCATCCAGCCACAGCATTCAATGATGTGTGTTCCTATAATAACAATTTACAGTGCCTTGCGAAAGTATTCGGCCCCCTTGAACTTTTCAACCTTTTGCCACATTTCAGGCCTCAAACATAAAGATATAAAACTGTAATTTTTTGTGAAGAATCAACAACAAGTGGGACACAATTATGAAGTGGAATGAAATTTATTGGATATTTCAAACTTTTTTAACAAATAAAAAACTGAAAAATTGGGCGTGCAAAATTATTCAGCCCCTTTACTTTCAGTGCAGCAAACTCTCTCCAGAAGTTCAGTGAGGATCTCTGAATGATCCAATGTTGACCTAAATGACCAATGATGATAAATAGAATCCACCTGTGTGAAATCAAGTCTCGTATAAATGCACCTGCTCTGTGATAGTCTCAGAGGTCCGTTTAAAGCGCAGAGAGCGTCATGAAGAACAAGGAACACACCAGGCAGGTCCGAGATACTGTTGTGGAGAAGTTTAAAGCTGGATTTGGATACAAAAAGATTTCCCAAGCTTTAAACATCCCAAGGAGCACTGTGATAATATTGAAATGGAAGGAGTATCAGACCACTGCAAATCTACGAAGACCCGGCCGTCCCTCTAAACTTTCAGCTCATACAAGGAGAAGACTGATCAGAGATGCAGCCAAGAGGCCCATGATCACTCTGGATGAACTGCAGAGATCTACAGCTGAGGTGGGAGACTCTGTCCATAGGACAACAATCAGTCGTATACAATATAAATCTGGCCTTTAGAGTGGCAAGAAGAAAGCCATTTCTTAAAGATATCCATAAAAAGTCTCGTTTAAAGTTTGCCACAAGCCACCCGGGAGACACACCAAACATGTGGAAGAAGGTGCTCTGGTCAGATGAAACCAAAATCGAACGTTTTGGCAACAATGCAAAACGTTATGTTTGGCGTAAAGGCAACACAGCTCATCACCCTGAACACACCATCCCCACTGTCAAACATGGTGGTGGCAGCATCATGGTTTGGGCCTGCTTTTCTTCAGCAGGGACAGGGAAGATGGATGGAGCCAAATACAGGACCATTCTGGAAGAAAACCTGGTGGAGTCTGCAAAAGACCTGAGACTGGGACGGAGATTTGTCTTCCAACAAGACAATGATCCAAAACATAAAGCAAAATCTACACTGGAATGGTTCACAAATAAACATATCCAGGTGTTAGAATGGCCAAGTCAAAGTCCAGACCTGAATCCAATCGCGAATCTGTGGAAAGAACTGAAAACAGCTGTTCACAAACGCTCTCCATCCAACCTCACTGAGCCCGAGCTGTTTTGCGAGGAGGAATGGGCAAAAATTTCAGTCTCTCGATATGCAAAACTGATAGAGACGTATCCAAGCGACTTACAGCTGTAATCGCAGCAAAAGGTGGCGCTACAAAGTATTAACTTAAGGGGGCTGAATAATTTTGCACGCCCAATTTTTCAGTTTTTTATTTGTTAAAAAAGTTTGAAATATCCAATAAATTTCGTTCCACTTCATGATTGTGTCCCACTTGTTGTTGGTTCTTCACAAAAAATTACAGTTTTATATCTTTATGTTTGAAGCCTGCAATGTGGCAAAAGGTCAAAGTTCAAGGGGGCCGAATACTTTCGCAAGGCACTGTATAAGTCAGTCTATCAGCTCAATAATGCATCACAAACAAGGGAGTCACTTAGTGTTGAAAAGTGGTGGGGACATAGGGGTTGAGATTAGGGGTGTGAAGAGACACTTAGTTTGCGAGATATCCCGATACGCGATATTAGGTTCACCAGAACGTGCCGAAAAGATATATGAGCGGGGGGTCTGGCAGGACCTCCCTCAAGAAATATTGATCATTAAACACTTCATTTCCTGCATTCTGGTGAAAGTTACTTTTTTGGCAATGTACATATGTTTCTTCAATATTTTAATTGCACTGCATGTTTTCTATCTGTGCAAATAAACATTTCTAAAGGCAGTTTAATTTTTATTTAACTTGCGAGCTATGTTTCAGAACAAATGATGCTTTAAAAAAGTGGTGGGGAAAAAATTAGCCATTTCAAAACAGTGTAAGTGACACCTATGATCACAAACTTGAAACAAATGAGTTGCTCTCTGAAGTAAAAACGTTTATTCATAAGATATTAAAATTTAGTTTAAAATGGCGACAAAAACTTGCACTTAATGGCCTCAATTAGGCTGAACACTAAATAACGGTGCCATCTGTGTAAAAGTGTATATCAACATTTGGTACATCCAGCTGGTTCCACAGAATATTTGTATATTTTTTTCTTTCACAAATGAGAGGACGTATTCTGCTAAATTCAAGAGTTTCTGTAAAAATTAATGCAGACAATAGTACCTCAGTTGTACAGTTTGTTTGTGCACAAGTGTACACAAGTGTACCAGCATGTGAGTGCGTGCTGCCATGGTCTGTGCCCTTCACTGCTCCACCACTATGTGGAGGTCAGGCTCAGTCAGACATGAGGAATGAAAGCAAACAATAGACTGATGTTGTTCATCAAAACAATTTTAGCAGTGACTCTGTGGAAAATACTTAATTAACTTATTAGTTTGGATTTTGGAGTTCAGACTATTAATTGCATAAAACATGGTTTCGCAATTGTGCCAAAAACATAATAACTGAGAGCCCGGCATGGGAGAGAATCCACAGGAATCACAGTTACAACAAAGACACATGTGATTTATAACTTGAAAAATACTGTAGAAAACAGGAATTAATAGCTTGTATTGTACCCTGTTTTCAGAGAGTCAGTCGGCACGTGATAAAAGCTTGTTTAAATGTCTTGAGTAATGTGTCAATCAGCAGACCGTAAATTACTACAGTGTTCACGCTTCTCTTTTCTTTCCTCAGGCAGCAGAGAAGCTTCTACGGTGTAAACCTGACTGCCCTTCACAGTGTTGCAGTGGATGAGTTTTTCAAGCAGCCTGTAGTGGTAAGTGCAGCAAAACTTTATTTCCTGTACGCGTCAAAACAGTAACTCTGCCACGGGATCAGTATGGTATGATCTCAAAGTGTCTAAATCTAGCCAGGTGATATTTGCACGACACCGGACACAAAACTGTATTCAGGTACTCTCACAATGCGAGAGCACAATCAAATATACAACTTTAGACACAGAGTCTCTCTTTAATCCAAAATAATTTCATAAATCCTGGTTGCTAATATACCTACAGTATATGAAGAGCATCAACCAATCTAATAAAGTGGCTTGAATCCTAGGCGAACTTAAAGTGCTTGAGTGTACTTAAGTCAAGAAATTAGTTGAGTGCATAAATTACTGTAGTAGCCAGGGATGGGCAGTATTTATGATACATGTATTTTAAATACGAATTTCCAAAACAAAATAGGATTTTGTTATTTGTATTTGATAGGGTAGGTTCATACTTTGGATCACAAACTTCAAGGTTTCATATTTTGTTGTAAACTACTTTAAAATGTCATCTACGTGAAGACATCATAAAAATGCTGTCTCGTGTTGGTGCTTACTCAGTAGTTTCCCAACGAGGCCAGGGATGGGCGCGACGGTCAGGTGACGGGCAGAGGAGGGAACGTCCGAGGGCATCTGATGGATAGCTTGAGGATAAGAGAGGGACTGAGGAGGAAACTGTGACAGCTACATGAAGACACTATATATATTGTATTGTTGTTTGAGGACATATAAAATATTTCCAGACCATTGCATTGTGGGATTTAATGTAGTTTAATAGCACAATCACATGTGTGATTGCAAAAAATATATATACAAGTGATTGGCAGCCACAAAACACTGCTGGCTTTCTCTGGTGTTACTCTGGTGTTACTGAGGGATCTGCTTATCAATCACAGTTATAGCAGCAGCACATAATATTTATTATATCCAGGTCTATTTTCATGGCCTTTTCATTTTATCTGCCCTAGAAGGAAAATGCTCTAAATCTAAGTGTGGCGAGAGATGTTTTAAATATTCTACAGTGATCAACATGTATTTTTAATTTCATTTTGTCAACAGATTATTTATTTAATGTCTTTTTCAGGACACGTTTGATGTGCAGGTCCTGATGGCCAGGTCTGTTAAGCACTGCATCAACTTCATGGAGGTTAAAGAAGAAGATTTTAAAAGGTTAAGAACACAAATAAATCAGAATAAGAACATACAAAACGATAGGTATTACTGGTGCAAGCAATGACTTGAATGCTTACTGAGAGTAAACTTGTGTGTTTCTTCCAGAATAGAGATTCCCTTTGTGTTTACGCTGCTGCAGTCTGGTCTGGTCCATGGACTTGCATTCTGGTTCGATGTGGCCTATTTGGGATCCAAGTAAGAAATACACAACTCTGACTTTCAATACAATTTGACATATTGTATTGATTTGATCGATTAAAAGCTTTTAGTTTAAAGAGACAGGCAAGATATAAATGCAAAGGCTATTTAATGCCTGAGATTATTTAAATAATGTATTTCTAAATATCATTCTAGCTAGCTTTGGTTTAAACTTCTGTCTGTCTCTGCAGGTCAACAGTGTGGCTCTCCACAGCTCCCACTGAGCCTCTGACCCGCTGGTATCAGGTCAGGTGTTTGCTTCAGACGCCGCTCTTCGCCAAGCTGGGACAAACTCTGTCTGGGACTGTCCTGCTGATCGCTAACAGCAGGTACACGTGTGCTTCCACCAAGCCTGCTTTTTCCATTTCAAGTGAAAATCAATGAGTTAAATTAATGTTAGATGGCTGCTCTATAATGTCAGTTTCCATGCGTCTTGTCTCTGCTAGTGTTTGGTTCAAACTAGTGAAAGCTCTCATGGAAGTTAAATAATCATGAACATTTACCTTTCCCATGTTACAGGCAGAGCTATGACATCCACATCACAGCCACAGTCGACCAATCAGGCTTCAGATCTGGAAACATCCTGGACCTCAAAAACCCATTCTTCAGGTTACTCCTTTTTATTTTCTCTCTGATAATTTTTTTTTTTTTACAGTAACATATATAAAAAAGGTTTTAATAACATTTTTTTATTTTAGTGGACATCGGGTTATTATTCCCCACAAAAAGTACATTACACGGCATGATTTGGTGATGATAAGACAATACATTCATTTTTTATATTTCATTTTACTCTCACTCATTTCATGACTATTGGAAACAAATAAAACAAATGTTAAAACCTGCTCTGCTGCCTGGCTCTCTTCCTCTCATCTGCTTTTTTAAAAAGCAAAACTCTCACTCACTGCTCTGTTTGTATCTAGAAAACGGTTGAAAATGAGGAGCAAGTCTCACTGCCGCTCACAAAGGACATGGGTTAAAATAAAAGACTTAAAATTAACATACACAACAAAAATATTAATATAATATAATTCAAGCTCTCACAAATAAAAAACAACATCCTTATGAAGGAAAGAACCAACATATGTTGATAAATTTCAACACATAACTCCTTTATTGCCGTAAAAGGCATTTGCTGCAATGCCAGCCATTTTGAAAGGATTTGACTGAGTTACATCACTAGAAAGTCCAGGATGTGCTTTTCACAGTACATTAGGACTCAAATAAACTGCATGTATGGCGTTTGAAATGAAATCTTCAGTGTTTATGTCCCCCACAGTGGACAAATATGAATTACCGATCTTAGAGGAAATTGTATTTAATATTGAAAGTGAATATTTGACCCCTTTGGTTACCTTTGGATTACATATTAGCAGTCAGACCAGGCTTATTTAAGTAAATTAGAAGATGTGTGACCTAAGTTACTGTGAAAACTGATCCCTCCAGGCTAACACAGTCCTGGTAATGTGAGTTTTCCAAGTTCACTTCAGTGTTATAATCAATCTGACTTTACTGCTACACTGAGAGTCACTTTACAGTTCATGTCAAATTTATCACTGAGCTTAATAATTATAATTTTTCAGTGTCATTTAAACAAAGCTAATAATCAACAGTGACCATGGCTGTAACCTAATAGTAAGTTACATTTTTACCATTTGTTCTCTTTAAATGTCACTAAAATGGAAGAAACAGAGACCCAGAAATATGCGTCTGGTTAGAAAGAAATGAAATGACAAGTGAAACTGTGAATCTGAATGCAGGATGCCGTGTTGGTTCCAAAGCTAGAGACATCCGGACCGTCGGTGCTGGCGGTTGGCTTCTCTCCTCCAGGATGCAGGCTGAGGAGAACAGAGGTAAACGTTGAATTGTGTAGTAAGACCAACCCATGTGCATGTTAAGGAATCATCAAAGCATGCACAGCTGCCATTCTGCAGGCAGACAGAAAGTCTTCCTGGAAGATCCACAAGAGGGCAGCAAGGGGCCTCCAATACTTTAAACCATTCATCATCTGGACTTTTAATCCTGATAGAGGCTGGGAAAAAACACTGGAAAACATACTCAGGTGTCACTAAACCAAAATTTATAGATGATTTACAAAATGAAATACTTCTTATATAGTTCAAGCGTGTAATGGGGAATATGTTTCTTTGGTTTTGTCAATGTCTGTAGATGGATAGAGGTAGGTTCTTTGCCGTCAGCAGAATTGAACAGCTGCTGTCAGTAATATGAAAATGGGAATTTTTATAGTGAATAACTTACTTGCTACATTTTGAAATCAAATTAAATAACAATTAATAAGAATTGAATTTTTAATACAATTTCTCAGAATAAAGTATTTGATGTTTTAATTTAAAAGATGTATTCCTGCCTGACTGTTGACATTCTGTCTTTTGTCCTTTAATTTAAGGTCAGGTGTATTTATTTTAATTTAAAGACACTTGCAGCCACTATTGGTTCACTTCAGACCAGTAACAGCAACTTTCACTGACCAGCCAACGCGTCTTCCTTTTCACCTCATCAATATCGTGTCCAGAAAAAGTAGCGGGGGTCATGTTTTGGGATAGAGGCCAATGAGAGCTGCTTACCTTTGTTTTTATAAAGGGAACTTATATGATTAATTCTTTGTTTTATTGTGGATAGTTTGCTGTAAATCTCACTGATCATTTATCATTTCTTTCACAAATAAGATATAAGAAATCCACAAGATTTTTTACTCTCTGAAGTGCTATTAAAATTCATCTTACAATGTTCATTATTATACGATTATTATTATCATTATCACGGATTTAACAATAACTTTAAAACTTCTCTCTCTGTTTTCCCCAAAGGACTCTCGTTAGGAATCATCAGACGTCAAGACATCTTCAATCACCACAACTTTGATTGATTTTTTAAAATGTTATTTTTTGTCAACAAACATTGGTGCTGAAAAGTCACTTCACTAAAAGTAACATCATTTAGTGTAAACTTATTATTGTATCTGTGTAAACTATATTTATACATATTCACACACAGAAATCACAATGTGATAAAAACATTGCATTACACATCATCATTTCCATAACAGCATTTTCTTCTCTGTGCACGTATGTAATAAATATTTTCCCTCAAAACTGTATTAATCTGACTGATTTTCTGTCGAATGCACACAACCGAAATGGTGACTGATTGTGTTTTTTCCCCCACACTGGTGTTATGTTTCCTAATCAGACCTCTTCTCAAGACTTTGTGAGTGTGCACAGACAGTGGTTGATGGACAGCTTACTCACGCTTGTTTTGTTGCACCTGTTAGGACGGGACAATGCAGTATTATTTTTACTTTGTAGAATTTGGTCTGTAAATCTGCACTCCCTTGGATCCGCAGCAAAACCCCCGCCACGTGTGAGGTTGATTGGATGAACAGATCTCAACATAATCGAAATACAAACACACAGACCGAGATTCCTGCCTTTATTGGAGAAACTGACACAAGATGACAATTAACAAGAATTCAATTTTATTTATACACTCACCTAAATGATTATTAGAAACACCTGTTCAATTTCTCATTAATGCAATTATCTAATCAACCAATCACATGGCAGTTGCTTCAATGCATTTAGGGGTGTGGTCCTGGTCAAGACAATCTCCTGAACTCCAAACTGAATGTCAGAATGGGAAAGAAAGGTGATTTAAGCAATTTTGAGCGTGGCATGGTTGTTGGTGCCAGACGGGCCGGTCTGAGTATTTCACAATCTGCTCAGTTACTGGGATTTTCACGCACAACCATTTCTAGGGTTTACAAAGAATAGTGTGAAAAGGGAAAAACATCCAGTATGCGGCAGTCCTGTGGGCGAAAATGCCTTGTTGATGCTAGAGGTCAGAGGAGAATGGGCCGACTGATTCAAGCTGATAGAAGAGCAACTTTGACTGAAATAACCACTCGTTACAACCGAGGTATGCAGCAAAGCATTTGTGAAGCCACAACACGCACGACCTTGAGGCGGATGGGCTACAACAGCAGAAGACCCACCGGGTACCACTCATCTGCACTACAAATAGGAAAAAGAGGCTACAAGCTCACCAAAATTGGACAGTTGAAGACTGGAACAATGTTGCCTGGTCTGATGAGTCTCGATTTCTGTTGAGACATTCAGATGGTAGAGTCAGAATTTGGCCTAAACAGAATGAGAACATGGATCCATCATGCCTTGTTACCACTGTGCAGGCTGGTGGTGGTGGTGTAATGGTGTGGAGGATGTTTTCTTGGCACACTTTAGGCCCCTTAGTGCCAATTGGGCATCGTTTCAATGCCACGGCCTACCTGAGCATTGTTTCTGACCATGTCCATCCCTTTATGGCCACCATGTACCCATCCTCTGATGGCTACTTCCAGCAGGATAATGCACCATGTCACAAAGCTCGAATCATTTCAAACTGGTTTCTTGAACATGACAATGAGTTCACTGTACTAAAATGGCCCCCACAGTCACCAGATCTCAACCCAGTAGAGCATCTTTGGGATGTGGTGGAACGGGAGCTTCGTGCCCTGGATGTGCATCCCACAAATCTCCATCAACTGCAAGATGCTATCCATCAATATGGGCCAACATTTCTAAAGAATGCTTTCAGCACCTTGTTGAATCAATGCCACGTAGAATTAAGGTAGTTCTGAAGGCGAAAGGGGGTCAAACACAGAATTAGTGTGGTGTTCCTAATAATCCTTTAGGTGAGTGTATAGCGCCAATTCACAACAAAAGTTATCTCATTGTACTTTTCACATAAAACAGGTCTAGACTGTACTCTTTGTAATCTTATTAACATAGATCCAACAATTCCTACCATGAGCAAGCACTTGGCCACAGTGGCGAGGAAAACCTCCCTTTAAAAGGCTGAAACATTGAGCAGAATCTAAACTCAGGGGGAGAGGGAGAACACAGTAGCCCATCGCAATGTATCCGCAGAGAGATGTAAGACAACAAAATACAAGTGTCTGAAAGCGTTCTTCCAACAAAACCCTCCAGAACAGTGTCAATGCTCATTGTCAGAGAAAATGTGGAGCTCTGCTGGAGGGATGAACAGCACTCTTCCCATTTCCATCACTCCCTCACGGTGGTGGACAGTGCTGTCTCACATGTTGCTTCAAAATCTAAGGGTTCGTTGTGTTTCTGCCCTCATTTATTCAGGTTTTCCCTTTACTTTGTAAACTATACCACTGTGATGTCGGATTTGAATGACTTCAGGTCATTGTAGAGGTCGCTGCTGGGTACTGTAGTTTTTTTTTCCTTAGAGGAGGTCATTGTGAGGGAGCCCCTCCATTTTAGTCTTGGCTCAAACTGTGTAATTTGAGCCGGGAAGCTGAGCTGAAGCTGTGAATTATGAATGCCTCCGAACCTGAGCAGGGCACACAGATGAAGACCACAGAGAGAATATTAATATTGAAAACTTACAAACTGATGTGCGCGAGCTCTCGGATGCATAAGTGATGTTAGTAATGACTCCAGAGGCAGGCTGGGAGCAATTTGTTAATTTGATGGTGAATCTCTCCCTGGTGCTCTGTCCTCGTGGCCTGCAGCTAAACCTGCCTGATCAAAGTTTGATGAGCAGGGCTTTGTAACATTAGACGGGACAGAAAACATGCTGGCTCTCTATGGAGGAGCTTTGCTGGGCCTCCACCTGGCATGTTGGAAGAAAGGTGGTCCACGGCCAAATATGGGGGAAACGTGCTGTTACAATCAGCCAGTGAGTGTATTGTGTGACAGCAGACAGGCTGCCAGACCAATTTAACGTGGTCAACATGACGGCCTTAATGGGGTTTTGATTTAGATGCTGTATATCACAGTAAAAGGTTTAGTAATTGGGTTTGACTGACCTGGAAAACCTTAAATGAAAGCACACAGTCAAGCATGTTTACAGAGAATTTGTCTACCATATAAAAATATTACATGTAATTTGATGTGATTGTAGAATAGAGACACGCATAGTGCTGCGTTCGGACTCACTCTTGTAATTTAACCACTCTACATCACTTGAAGAGTATGTAACCCAACGGATCATCATGAAAATCGAGCTCATGCTTCATCGTATGCAGGAACCTGTTTTTCTCTTACTCCTGCTTCCATTAAACAACACAGGTTGTGTCGAGGTCCTCTCTCCAAACGAAGCTTGCACACCATCATTTAGAGGGATTCGACAGAGTTAAGCCAAATCTTACATCAATGCAAAATAGAAATGAAGGCAGCTTCAAACCCTTTCTTTCAAAATAGTTTTAAAATAGATTAGTAGTGTGTAGTTGTTAAAGTGTTCTTTCTTTTCTACATGTGGTCTCAATGAGATTGGGCATCCCATCATATGCTTTAGAAATGTATGCAACATACACTTATCTATATCTATACACTTATAGATATAGATACACATACACATACACTTATCTATAAACTGCGGACACAATAGTCCTTCTTATCCTCCTCACAGCGTTTAGATGAGTTTAACCTGCACTACTCTCCTTATCCAAGGAAAGTAATGAAGATACAACTCTTAGAACAGCTTAACAAATGCTAAACAGGGCCAAACAGGTGATCAAGCAACAGGACAAAAAGGATCCAGAGAGAGAGAGCGATGGGGAGGAGGGGCAGGTGAGCGTCACAGTGAGTTGACACTGGTGTTAGTTGCTGCTGGCTTTCATCAGTGCCGCGTGGCATGCATCGGGGCATCAGCTGATCTGATCCAGCTCTGCTACAGCCAGCAGCACCGACCGGGACTCAGGGATGATCCT